GGAGCTATTTTTTTTAAAGCCCTGAGGCAGATAAACACTAAAGGCTCATCATTACACACTGTGCACTGATGTTCACACACTACAGCCTGATGAACTACAAAATGCCTCACTTCTCCAAAAAGGAGTTTGACACTGCAAACAGGAAAGCCAGGCTCTGCATATTACATGTGACTAAGAGAAAAACGTCTTGAAGATCGAAGTACATTCCATAGAACTACAGTGAACCCTGAAAATCATTGAGCTTCCTCTCGTTTTCACTCATTCCTTCCTCAAATCCTGCCTTGTTTATTTGTTGAATGAAGATTTCCAAATGGTTGAGAATCTTTCCTAATCTTGGGCAGTGTTTATAAAGGTAGGAGTCTGATAGTGAATTCATCTCACTTTTTTTTTAAACTTAAAAAAAAATTTATTCATTATTTTTATTTTATGTATATGAGTGTATTGCCTGCATGTAATGTGTGTGCACTCGTGTTGTGCAATGCTGCGGAGGTCAGAAGAGGGCTTCGGATTCCCCTGGAAGTGGAGTTAAGGATGGTTTGTAGCCGTCATGTGTGTGCTGGGAATCGAACCCAGGTCCTCTGCAAGAGTAGTCAGTGCTCTTAACCGCTGAGCCATCTCTCCAGGCCCTCACCTTACTTTTTACTTTTGTTCCCCTATCTCATAAAGAAGATTAAGAGATGCATGGGTTTAATTTATCTAATTTGATTATTTTGCTGTATAAAACTAAATTTTATTTTTCAAATATTTATTTTCGATCTCCTAAAACCACTATTTTGATTGGACACTTTTTAGATGCTAACTTAAAATGATCATTGCATGGCCAAGTAGCATGGGAAGATTTGTACCTGTTGGTGGTCTTAGAGTGTAAATCTGGGGTGGGAAGAGGAGTGAGGGATGGGTTGATGTTCCCCTGAGAAGGTAGAACAAGCTGGTTTGGCTGCTATTTAGATTTCTCCATGCTGTTGTGTATTAATATTCATTTCTTTCCATTACTGGAAACAACCAATTGTATGTATGGGCCACTGGGGTGTTTCTGCTTTTGGTTATTCTGAATGAAACTGCTATTGGTGTTCAAAAAAATGAGAATATATTTGCCACAAATTCTCTGTCATTCCAGCAGTCGACCCAGATCCAACACCTCTTACATGATACCTGAAAACTTTCACTTTTTTTTTTTTTTTTTTTTTTTTGGTCTTTTTGAGACAGGGTCTCCCTGTAGCCCTAGCTATCCTGGAACTCATTATGTAGACCAGGTTGGCTTTGAATTCACAGAGATCCACCTGCCTCTGCCCCCCCGAGTGCTGGGATTAAAGACATGCGCCACCACGCCCAGTGACTTTCATATATTTTAAAATGTTCCTTTAATAAACTTTTCAACTTTATAGGCTTTCTCCAGATAGAGAATTTTCTAGAAGCAGAATAGCAGATTAATACAGAAAGCAAAGGAGTAAATAAGGAGCTATTGCAGGTGTTTCTTTTCTATTTATTTACATATTTATTTATTTTTTTGAGACAAGATCTCACTATGTAGCCCTGTCTGGCCTGAAACTTGCTGACCACACTGTCCTCAAACTCACAGGGATCTGCCTCTGCTGGGATTGAAGGTGTGCCTGACCACACCCGGCTCCTACTTTTGATTTAAATGAGGACTTTCTGGACCAAACAGTTCAACTGTTTGGGCTTGGAATCTGTATTCTGTACTCCGCAGGCTATGAATGGAGCTCAGGGAAGTTATATCACCTGAGTATTAGGCCTTTATGTGTAAAGTCAGGATAAGGATGCCCAACTGTGTAGTAAAATAACATGTTATGCAACTATGTAGCATTCGCAGCACTTTTGGCTGTAAAAGGAAAACTGTGCCAAAAAAAGATGAACATACCAAAACAACAACTCAGGTGGCTCCCTGCCCCCTCCTCCTTTTGTTTCTTTAACAGTCTCAAGTAGCTCAGGTTGGCCTGGAACCTATTATGCAGCTGAGGATGATTCTCCTGCCTCCACCTTCCAAGTGTTAGGATTAGAGGCATGCACCACCACGCCTAGTTTATTTGATGCTGGGGATTCAAGCTAGACAAACACCCTACCAACTGAGCTACATCCCTAGCCTGTTGCTCTATGTTTGTTTAACAACAACATATAAAAAAAATCTCACTAGTAAAACATTAAACTACAGCTGGAAGGTTGGGGCAGAGGTCAGTAGAGCACTCACTTAGCATGTGCAAGCTCTGGGGGTTCAAGCCCTAGCATCACAGAAAAACAGGCTAAACCCAAACAAAACACTGTAGACGGTGGAAAGTGAGTGTCATGCTAGGGGCTAAGGCTGTTGTGTTCAGTTCTGCTTCCTGTCCAGCCAAGGCTGTTTCCTGTTCTGATGCTCAGCTGATGTTGCCCCATGTACAAATAGCACTGAGAAGCTGGGCATGGGAAGTAGCTGTGCTTCAAACATTTTCCTTTGTGAAAAGGAACAAGCCAGATACTATTCTTGGTGGTGGTGGTGGGGGAGCCATTTCTTTTCTTATAAGTAAGCTCAGCAAGCTCAGCAAGTTTGACCATCTACCCCCAACATCTACACAAGGGTTTTCATTATTCAGTGTCGGAACACAGACGCATTCTGTGCCTTGATAAACCTAGGCTATGCTGGCCTGCTCTGAGGGCCAAGAATGGCAGACGAGAGCTACAGACTGTGGTGATTGGCACTTCCAGCCAGTTCTCTATTTCCCTTTAAAAAAAATTTTTTTTAAAAATTTTTAAAGACTTTTAAAAAATTATTATTTTTATTTTATGTGGATGCATGTAGCCTGCATGTAGGTAAGTGTACCCGTGTTGTGCAATGCCCACGGAGGTCAGAAGAGGCTGTCGGATCCCCTGGGACCGGAGTTATGGACAGTTGTTAGCTGCCATGTGGGTTCTGGGATTCGAACCTGGGTCTTCTGCAAGAACAACCAGTGTTCTTAACTGCTGAGCCATCTCTCCAGCCCCTATTTCCCTTTTTAATACAGCTGCATCTTCAGACAATGGGTCCTCAGCAACAACTGGCAAATTAAAAATGTCCATGGACATTGAAAAATAACTCCCCCTGAGTCTTTTAGATAGACCCACTGAAGGGGTACTCCAATTGCCTCACCCTGCGTCCCTGTTCAGCATAGAAGAAGCCAGAGCAGTCTGTGTCCCTATTCCCTATTGGCAATTTGGGAAACCTCTTCAGAGGATGGTGTGATAAGAATAGGAAGTAGGAATTGGCTAGGCAGTTAGGGTAAAAAGACCCCAAAGAAAAGTAGCCAGTTTCTTGGCTAAAAGTTAAAATGTCCTTGGGCCTCTTAGCAACATACTCTGTTCCAAAGGCCAAAAATGTTGAAAGTATTTGGGAGCTTGTATCTAATCCTTAAAAGATTTTAGGATTACCTCTTCAGAGGGGGGAATGTTAGAGTAGCCAAAACCCCCACAAAAATAAATAGATCAATTGAAGAAGAAGAAGAAGAAGAAGAAGAAGAAGAAGAAGAAGAAGAAGAAGAGAGAGAGAGAGAGAGAGAGACAGAGAGAGAGAGAGAGAGAGAGAAAACAACTCCCCCTTAAGGCCAGCCTGGTCTACATAGTGAGTTCCAGGCAAGGTGGGGCTGCAGGGAGACCCTCTCTCAAAAAGACCAAATTAAAAAAAAAAAAAGCTCCCCAAACCCTTGAACCTCTTGAAATTTTCAAAGGCTACAGGAGCTACTAGCTTTGGTTATAAAAATAATGTGGGCTGCTACATACCATGAAGGTTAAGTTCAGCCACAACAGCTGGGGAAGAGAAATACCACGTGCAAAAGGGTCACTGAACGGGCAAAACCAGATTTCCTGCCACCAAGCATTAGGCCCAGGGTAAGTGCAAAGGAGAAATCCTTTCAGGAGAGCTACAGATAAGTGGTTTTACAAACTAGCTAACACAGCTGCCTTGCAAGACTGGAACAAAAGTGGTTATAGTTCCGGAGAGGAAACAGCTTGCACCAGGAAGAAAGGATCAAGAATGGTGACTCACACAGTTAGCTTGGTGACATACGCAGGAATATGTATGCATGTCCTGAGATGTAAGGTAAGAAGAAAGGAAATCAGGAGGTTGAGGCATTGGGCATGGGACAGTGGCAGCCATGGATACTCATCAGGCATAGGAGTTTGCACACTGACTACGTAGTGGCATGAAGACAGCTCTAAGGAGCTGTCGTCAGTAGTGAGGAGAAGGCATCAGAAGGCTCATGACCCTCTGGGAAGCCTTCCCTGCTTCTCTTGGACAGGTATCTTGGCACTCTCCTCTGAGCATCCAATTGTTACATGGGCAAGTGGCCATGTCTTGATTAGCACACAGTTCCCCATTCTATAACAAGGGTGTTTTGAGCCTCTCTCTTCCACTAGGGTATTTCACAGCCACCAAATGAGGCACAGTTGTGGTTGACTCCAGAAGACCGACCTATTGTACCCAGACCAGACCAGGAGTCAGGATGCAGGATGAAACATTTTTTCACCAGAAGACCAAGAGAAGGGATCTTGATGGCTCTAGCTTACAGAATCAAAAACAGGCTCCACTGGGGCTGGAGAGATGGCTCAGCAGTTAAGAGCACTAGCTGTTTTGCAGAGGACCTGGGCTCAGTTCCTAGCACCCACATGGCAGCTAACAATCATTTGTAACTCCAGTTCCAGGGGATCTGATACCCTCTTCTTACCTCTGTGGGCATTGCACAACACAGGTGCACTTACATTCATGCAGGCAATATTCATACACACAATAAAATAAAAATAGTAAGTAAAATATAAAAAAAACAAAAAACAAAAACCAGGCTCCAAAGGCTCAGTCATTTGTGGAGATGGTATGACAGGGGGCGGGACAGAAGTAGGGTTCCCTGCTTCTGAGGCTATGTTCTTAACCTATTATATTCTGTCCCACAAGGCTTCTGAGATGGAGCGGCCTAATGTTAGAGGAGAGAACAATGCAATACCAGTCCAAGATGCCTACCCTGTCACCTCTTGTTTACCTTTGCCAGTCTTGCTCGTTTGATGAGGTCATTGAGTTTGCGTACTGCAGCCTTCTGGGGCAGACTCTGGATGTCTCTGAAGAGGTCCTGTGCCTCAGCCTCAAAGAGCCTGCGGTTATCTGTGTTCTGCAGGGGCTGTGCCCAGAAGGAGCCAATGTAGACACGAAGTACCTCAGGTGTGTTGATGACCTTGCCCAGAGACCACATGAGGGCCCCATAAACCCGCATCAGCTGCTGTGTGTCCACCTGGTCAGCCTTGTTCAGCACCACACGGATCTTGTCATCTTGGCCCCTGAAAGCCTTGATGGCCTCTGAGAACTCATCTGAGATATCCAATTTGTGAGCATCAAAGAGCAGGATGATCCGGTCAACCCTCTCAGCAAACCACTGCAGGACCTGGCAGAAGTCATACCCTGGGTGGAGAGAAGGGTCTGTTAGTGCCTGACCACTCTTGGAGACATGGCTGTGGGTTGGCTCTAGGGAGAGAGAGATAAATCTTCAAGCTGGAGGCAGCAGGGGCCTATGACCTGAAAACCATTTCAAATGAAGTCCCCTGGGCTGGACACATCTGGTTAACACTGGGGACCTGGGAGTCCATCCATAGAAAGGAGTAGGGAATAAAATGGGGTCCCTAGTCAGTCTGATGAAGCACTGTATACGGACAACTTCATTTAGTCCTCATGATTCTGAATTCATCCAGCACAGGTCTTTGGATCGGTGGCAGAGGTAACTTCTGGTTCTGAACACTGCAGGGCATGGGTAAAGGCTCTTACGCTGGAGAGGTCTCGCTTTTCAGAAAGCATCTGAGATGAAGGAAGAGACCCTGGAGGCCACTTGCAGTTCCCAGGGGGCCCAGCAAGCATGGGAGAGGAAGAATACTTTCTTTCAGCCCAAGTTTATAGAGTGTTGAGGAGGTCAAGGGTTCACCTGGGAAACACTGTGATTGATAGTTATCATGTGGACTATTTATAGCTTAAGTGTGCTTAAAAGTATTTTTAAAAATCTGTCATACAGAATATGGTCATTTGCCAATTTCTTTTTGAAAATAGTCAAGAGTGTATTTTGGCTACCTACCAATAAACTCCAAATCAAGCATCTAAGTAAACACTTTTGAACCCAAGGTCAAGACTTTCAGGTACCTCCCTAAGGAGGCAGGTTCCCAGGGAGAGCACACAAGGAGAGGCCAGTCCCCCAAAGGTTATTTTAATCTAAGGCTGCTCGGCTACAGAGCCAGCCTCTCAATCCAGCCCAAGGAGGCTGAGCGGTCCCCTCTCCTACTGCCTTTCCAGTGTTCTTTCTTTTCTACTTCAAAGACTCTGAAATGCATGTCAAAGTCTAGAGAATAATGTAAGGAATGCTGAGGTACCTTCCACATGATTTAACAGGGTGCCTTACTTACTTCAGATGCTTCTTAAAAATCAAGCCTAGTTTATTCGGATTACAAAATATACAGCAACAAGAATGAACTGGATCTTCACTTGTCAACATAGGTGAATCTCTTCAAATAAACAAGCAAATACCCTACACAAACAAAAAACTGTTGATTAAGAGGGACTGGAGAGATGGCTCAGTGGTTAAGAGCACTGGCTGCTCTTGCAGAAGACCTGGATTTAGTTCCCAGCACCAACATGGTGGCTAACAACCATCTATAACTCCAGTTCCAGGGGATTTGACACCTTCTTCTGACCTCTGCAGATGTTGCATGATATGGGTAAACTTACATGCATACAGGCAATACACTCATACACATAAAATAAAAATAATAAATAAAATATTTGAAAAACTGTGGATGAAACTGTTGATTAAAAATCAGTTTCAATTCATGTATGGTGGTGCATGCCTTTAGTCCATCAGCACTTGGGAGGCAGAGACAGGGGGATCCTCTGTGAGTTCAAGGCCAGCCTGATGTATATAGCAAGTTCTAGACCAGCCAGGACTACATATAGAGACCCTGTCTCAAAAACAAAGCAAAGCAGGCAGGGTGTGGTGGTGTAACACCTTTAATCCCAGCAGAGGTAGGCAGATCTCTGTGAGCTCAAGGCCAGCCCTGTCTACATAGTGAGTTCCAGATGGGGCTACAGGGAGACCCTATTTCAAAAAAAAGAAAAAAGCAAAGTGAAACAAAACAAAACAAAAACTAGTTTCAAAGGATGAACACAATGGCAGGCATAATAGCTTATACCTGTAAACCTAGTATTCAAAAGCTTGAGGCAGGAGGATTGCTCAAAGTTCAAGGTCAGCCTGGGTTACAGATTAAGATTCCTGTATCAAAAAACAAAAACAAGAAAGAGATGAATACAGCATGATAATATTCACATAAAAAGAAAAGCAGCTCTGCTTTTCTGGGCCTGCACAACCCGCAGGCCTCTCTCCGTGTAAGTCGATTGGGACCTCAGCTCTGTGACTCCCCCACCTTCATTCACTCTCCCATCTCCTCTGCCTGTCTCTCCTATCTTGGGCCCTGTCCCATTCCTTGTCTTAGGAACCATCACTGCTTCCTGAGCCTTTAGCATCCAGACCAACCCAGTTCCTTCTCAGGTCCCCAGGAGCCCTCTGGGCCCAGCCCCACCCTCACCTCCCTCTGCTTCCCTGGCTGCACAACCCTCCAGCCTCTTTCCTGGAAGCTGGGGCTGACCTTTCCTCTTCCTGATCCTTTGCATCCAGACCAACCCAGTTCCTCAGTGCAGTCCCCAAGAGTCCTTGGGGCCTCGTCCCGGCCAATCTGCCTTTGCATCTCTGGGGTGCACAGCCACCAGCTGCCCTAGACCAGCATCTTGCCTGGGCCAGGCTCCCAGGCCAGTCCAACCCCCAAATTCCTAAGGCCAAAATCATTCCTGGGAGGGATCCAAACCGTAGGAGAAAGCCTGAAAACATCTGACCCTCATCTGAATTGGGCCTCTGTGGGAACTCCTGAAGACAAAAGCAATCCGGCCACTCCAATATAAAATCAAAAGAGAGAACTGGAAGCTGAGAGGAACCAGCTTTTCATGCTCAAAAAGTAAACCACAAAGACATAAAGTTCACAAAAAGAAGAAGACCTAACCTTGAAGGCTTGAGTCTCACACAAGAATCAGAAACTACAAAAGAAATTCACATGTCAAAATCACAGAGAAAAAACAATAACAT